GCATAATTTATTAATTATTATAATCCCTCCATTACCGCAGACACGCCGGCGTGTCAGTCAACAATAGATTTCTTAGAATTTTAATTAATTTCTTAGAAATTTACCTGGAGGTGTTAAATATAGCGCAACCTATGTGCAATGTACTCGTACATACATTGTCTGTGTCCTGCTTTTTTGCATTTGAACAAAAATGTTTTTGTGCTATACGTTATGTCATTTTGATAGTGAAAATTATATAAATTTAGAAAGAAAAGCGATAAATAATCAAGCACGTGTACATAAATCGAAAGTAGCGCAGAATGTCAACGTATCTTAAGTCAGAATTACTCAACCGTCTGCGACTTGACATTTTTGCCAGGAAAACCTGCAAACGTGGCCAGACGAATGTCGTCCTTACTGTTACGAGATAACGGCTCACGTGACTCGGTAAAAGATAGACTTAAATTGATACATTGGGAATGCAGTATGGTGTAAGTGATGAGCGATTTTCTCAGACATATTTTTGTTGTATATTTGAATATTTGATAGCTACTGATTCTTATTGTACTTGATTTTATTGTATGTAATATTTTAACGATTCCGAATTTGGTCGTGAATAAAGTTTTTAATTGAAATGAATTTTTAAATAAATCCTAATATAATAAGCCTATTATCTAACTTTGTAATTGAAATAGCGTGTTTATTTTCGTTTTTATTAGCGACTCACCCTCGCTTCGCTTTGGGTACTTCTACCACATTCTTTTCACATCCACCACATTCTTATCACATTCTAACAAATAATCCCTCGGGAACCATACATTTTTCCAGGATGACATGTAGACTATAGCCTTCCTCAATAAACGGGCTATCTGATGCAAAAAGAATTTTTCTAATCGTATTAGTATACTTTTATATCAACTTTTATAAATTGTGTAATGTAATAAATAGGTTTGATTTAATTTAAAGTTTATTTTTTAGATATTTATTCGTATTCTTTTCAGAAAACCCTTTCATTTGATAAACATATCATAGCGGTGCATAAAAAATATAGTCCGCCATCTTTGGGAGTCCAAAATACACGTGTACCCAAAATTTCAAACCAATCGGTTGAGGATAACTGCTTTAAAATTCAGTTGCAAGATTTGATCCGAACAAACAAACATACAAACATTCCAAGTTAAATAAAAGCTTTTAAAATCTTCAGTTCATGACATGGACCACGCGCAAATGTTTTTTGATACGGAACCGGATTGCGTCAAACTTGATACCGGAGCGGTTTCAAAAATCGTGAAAGTTGTTGCAAATTTTAGTACATATATTTTAAAATTAAAATTTATATAATAATTTGAATTATATTTTTACAAGAAATGTCACGTCATGCAATGAAATAATTTTGGTTGTTGGAAAAAGATGAAATCTATACATACATATAATAAAATTGTAACTAAGCCGAATCTGTACATTAAATATTTTTTGAAAATTTCATTGAAATAAACCCGAATCCCTAGTTTTTAAAATTTTTGACTGTCTGTCTGTTTGGGAACGCTTTACGAGAACACCATAGCACAGATTTTGATGAAATTTGGTATGATGATAGCTGGTTGTATTCAGCCCTTATTAACGTCCCACTGCTGAGCACAGGCCTCCCTTCAATATGAGGGGGATCAGGCCATAGTCCACCACGCTGGCCAAGTGCGGGTTGGCAGACTTCACATGTCTTTCGAAAGCTTGCTAGGTTCTCTCAGACATGCAGGTTTCCTCACGATGTTTTCCTTCACCGTAAGGCAAGTGGTAATCATGTTGAAAATGATTCGCACATGAAAATATCAGAGGTGCGAGACCCGGGATTTGAACCAGCTCACTCGGTTACCCATGCGAGCACGTCACCACTGGGCTACCACTGCCCTATCTTATGATAGCTGGTTATCCGGGTCAATATATAGCATACTTTTTACCGCGGGAGAAACGATAAAGCGTAAGTAGGGGCGAACCCGAGCGGAATGAGGGTGAGTCGCTAGTTTCATATAAAATTTGAAGAATTTACTAGGGACCATGGAATAGTTGAAAAGTAGTGTATTCATAGCTCCATCAGCAATTTCGTTGCTATCAAAATTTTCTAAAAAAATAAAAAACAAGTCTATCCCACAGGAACCGTACATTTTTCCGGGATAAAAAGTAGCCTATTTGTTATTATGATGTATGAACTATATTATTATTGTAGTTTCATTAAAATCCGATCAGTATTTTTGTGTACTAAGCTGTATAAGTTACTATAGTTTTTTAACTATCCCACGCGAACTCTTTAATTTTCTGGGATGAAAAGTATCTAAAATGTTGACAGTGAATATAAGGTATCACCATGCAAAGTTTCATTTAAATCGGTCCTACAGTTTCGGAAATTAGCCCGTACAACAGACAGAAACAAAAAAATTGAAAAAAATCTGCGTTTGTTCTATTTCTCTTCTTACATCCCCTGACTCGGTTTTTAGCGTTTTTGTTTCTACATATGTACAGACATTAGACCTCTACAGTTTTATTATACGTATAGAATATAGATTATATGGATTTGACACAAATTAATATCTTGAAGTTGGAAATCGATACGAAATTTGGAAATAGATTATAAATTGACTTTCATTTGTTATATTGAGTGGCTCATAACATGTCCATTGTCCATACTACGAGTATAAATATAGATACTAAATTTTGTACCTATCTATTCATATGTTACATAATAAAAGTGTAACTGATCGCTGTCTGTACATGGAAGATATTTGAGAAAAACTATTATTGGGGGGTCTTTATTAACGCAATAGAATCCAACTCGATAATTTTTGGAGTTTTTGTCTGTTTGTCTGTGCGTTTGTACGCGCTGATCTCAGAAACGGAACATCTGTTTGTCCGTGGCTTCGTTTCTAAGGATCATACTCTGATGTTAGATAACAAGAAAACCACACAAAAACATACATACATACAAAAAACTAAGTGTCAACTTTTTATATTACTATAGATAATAAATATATATATATTCGTGTTATTTTTGAGAAATTTTTATATTATTTATGTTGGAATAGTGACTTTTAAATTGTCTAAAGGCCAATGTGCACCGTTAGTTGGAAGCGTAATTGCCGGCAGGTGATGGCGTACCCTTGTTCATAGCTTTGTCAGTTTTGAAAATACATAATATGTTTACGAACTTATTTGATAAACAAGCGACTGACCCCTAGCTTCGCTCGGTTTCGTCCCTAGGTACGTTTTAATTATTTAACGATACCCTATTTATTTATTTTTCAAAAATAAAAGTAGCTTAAGTTACCACTTATAAAATCAGCTATCTGCCAGTGAAAGTTCCGTCTAAATCGGTCCTGCCGTTTTGGAGATTAGCCAGAACAAACAGGCAGACAGATAAAAATGTAAACAATGGAAATGTAAATAATTTCATAAGCATTCAGTAAAAAGCTGTTATTTTGACATTACACACAGACATTTCAATTTTATTTATCTGTATAGATATAATAATTATTATCATTAGTATTGGAAAAAACTACTAAAAGGAATGTGTTCGTTTTTTGTTAGGGTTCCGTAATCATAAAGTAAAAACCGCACCTTGACAATTTCGTCATGTCCATCTGTCTGTGTGTCACTACTTTTACTCAGAGCCTAACTGCCTCGATGGTGTAGTTGCTATCATATACGGTTGTACATCCGCAGGTTCTGGGTTCGAGTCGATCCAAGTTTATTTTTCGAGTCTTCATGTTAAAATAATATACATGTAATGCCAACATGTCCTGTATAAATGAAGGTTTAAAAAGAATGGTATTGTATGTTATTTCTATATAGATAGCTCTTTTTTTAATCATCATCTCCCTGCCCGTTTCCCAAATTACTTGGGGTCGGCGCAGTACGTCCATGCTGCTTATTAATATATGAAATCGTAAACATTATATCTAACCTTAAAAAATATTTAGAGTTTATATGTGCAGGTGGGGGTTTTAATTAGTTTTCCCTCTAAAACGTAACGGAAGAAAAATGAGTGGTCAGTTTTGCCAATGTACCTATTCTAATATTATAAAGAGACAGAGACAATTGTTTGTTTGAACGCGCTAATCTCAGGAACTACAATTCTTATTTAAAAATTCTTTTTGCATTAGATAGTCCGTTTATTGAGGATGGCTATAGACTATATCTTATCCCGGAAAATGTACGGTTCCCGTGGGATAATTTATTTATGCTTAAGGAAGAACCCGAAGCGAGGGTGAGTCGCTAGTGATTATTATAAAGAGTTTTAGTGTTTGAGTTAAACTGACTCGCAATTTAAAAGATTGTAATACTTTCTTAGATTTAGATAGTTTTATTTAAAATGTTAAAAGATTGTATTAAAAACAGAACCACAGGGAAAAAAGTAAGGCCCGAAAGCATAAGTAACTAACATACAAAATGTCGTCTATCTATCAAAATAACAGGAGGGCAATCTAAATCTACACTAATATTATAAAGATAAGGTATAGTGTGTAGTTTTGTATGCCACATAAACAAAATGCTAATTTTTTACGGGTTCTCTTCCCTCGAAGAAATATGTCAGTTTGTTACTCCATCACGATCAAAGGGCTTGATGGATTGGGATTAAATTGAATACATAGATAAACTATGACCTATTAACACATACGTTAAATTATCAATAAAATTTGCTTCAAAGGAACGCTGCTTGTATATTAATATTATAAACTAGCAGAAAAACTAAGACAAATCTATACCACGGGAACCGTACTTTTTTCCGGGATAAAAAGTAGCCTATATATTATTCCAGATTATAATTTATCTGTGCGCCTAATTTTATCCAGATCCGTTCAGCCGTTCGGGCGTGAAAGAGTAACAAACATCCATACACCCACACTCACAAACTTTCACATTTATAATATTAGTTAGTAGATATAGATAAAAAATGTATCTACAGTATGCGAGCAAATCAAAGGTCTGTCGCTAGTATGTAATAATATTAAAGTTTATGTTTTTGTCCATAGGTGCGAGGTGGTAGCACTGGCGTTCCGCCCCCCGCGCCTCCCGCTTTAGAAGAGAAGAGATCCCCATTGCAACCCCAGCAGCAGGGCAGAGCGCAGTTACCTCCAGGTATATACAACATATTATGGCCTATGCACATCGCGTTTTGAAAACGCGAAAAACAAACGCATATCATAAGCACGCGTCTTCTGCGCTTATTCTGTGATGGGAAACTTAAAAGGCTATCGAATACTACGTTTTACAAGCGCGCAGAAAACACGTATTCTACACTGATTAACTTAAAAAACGCATATTTCTTGCGCTCGTATCGATAAATTCGCGCGATAAATGAGCATCGACATATTGTACAATTTTAGTGCAGGAATCTATTAATGTGTAATTTTTAATCGAACTTAAAAAAAATCATTCCCAAAGGTAAAATAATTACTTTTAAAATAATTATGAAGTCGGTACCGTTTCGGTTAAAAAGTGTTGTAAAAGGTGCCGATGGAAACGACGTCTCGAAAACAATTTCTAGATATTAAAATAACATCATTTAAGCACTTAACTACAAAACGTCATCTTAGAAAGATTCTGGCGAAGAAACTAATAATTTTCATTTCATATTGATGAGTGAGCGAAGCGGGTTCAAATCCCGGGTCTTGTACCTCTGATATTTTCATGTGCGAATCATTATTACCACTTGTCTTACGGTGAAGGAAAACATCGTGAGGAAACCTGCATGTTTGAGAGAATCTAACAAGTTTTCGAAAGACACGTGAAATCCGCCAACCCGCACTTAGCCAGCGTGGTGGACTATGGCCCCGTCCTGCTCATATTGAAGAGAGGCCCGTGCCCAGTAGTGGGACATTAAAAAAAGGGCTGAATACAAATGTTAGTAAATTAAAAAGATTTTAAGTAGTTTTTATTTTTCACCACCAATAGAACCAGTCCCGGTGCCCCCAGCGCCCAAGCCAGCCATCGTGAAAGCTCCCAAGAACGCCAAGATAAATCACAAGGTAAACTAATTATATTACTCTATTAGAAGATTTCTTATTTATACTTACTTCTATATTAGTAACAAAGAAAATGTGTTTTTGGTATGTTTGTATGTTTAGTTTTTATCCCGGAAATCATCCCGTAAGGGGGTGAACAGAGGGATGAAAGTTTGTATGAGGAATCAATAAATTTTTAAGTAAGGGACTCATCATACCTGTATACATATATATTCTATCTGTTGTATAGTAACAGTTAAAACGTACCTGGGGACAACCTTGAGCGAAAGGAGGGTGAGTCTCTAGTGATTATTATAAAGAGATTAAGTGTGTGAGTAAAATTGACTCGCAATAAAAAAAAAATCTTAAAAACAGAGCCACAGGGATAAAAGTAAGGCCCGGAAGCATAAGTAACTAACATACAAAACATCAAGTATATGTATCTATAGGTACTAATATTATAAAGAGGAAAGATTTATTTTTTTGTTTGTTTGTTTCGAATAGGCTCCGAAACTACTGAACCGATTTAAGTGAAATTTAGTCAGAAGATAGCTTGAGACCCTGGGAAGGACAAAGGATAGTTTTTAGCACGGAAATCATCCCTTAAAGGGGTGAAAATGGATGAAAGTTTGTATAGGGAAGAAACTTAAGGATGAACCCGAGCAAAGTGAGGATGAGTCGCTAGTAACGTATGTATATTGTATATGCAGGAGGGCAAACTAAATGTACACTAATATTATACAGAGGTATAGTGTGAAAGTTTGTATGTATGGGGTTAATCTCTGGAACTACTGATCCGATACTGAAAATTCTTTCACTAATATGTATTTTCGCGAAAATCTTAATTTGCCCGTATTTTTTTTATCGTCTTGACTCAGGACCTTGATTTTTATACACCTAATAGGGACTGTAGATCTAAGTATCTGGTATAAATTTCAAATTGCTAGGTCCATCCATTCCTGAGAAAATCGGTGGTGACACATGACAACTGCAGTTTGTAAGCGACAAAATCGCTAATCGCACTGTTATGATAATACTTTTACGTATTCGGTCTGCCCAATGGCGTGCGTTTCAACTACTTTCAATTACCCCACATATATTTGCACTCTATAATAATTATTTTCTCAATCAAAAAGAAATTACATAAAAAAATATTGATATAGGCTTAATTCAAAAGTAATAAACATTATAAAAAAAATATTTCAACTTTATTTAAATCACACGCATATTCCCCATTGATGTTACACAATATTTTTTTTTTAATTTTCGCTTTAAAGTCTGTTATTATATGTTCTACACTATAATATGTTATTATCAAATCGAGCTAAGCGAAATACTATATGCTAAATATATATTATGGATGGCAATCGAATTCGTGACCTTCGGGTATGCATCTGTACGAGTCGAAGTCGTGGTAAATGTGCCAATGGACTAAAGCGCACGTATATAATTAGGTTTTGTCTAAAATGATACAGGCTACTTGGGAATAATTTCTAAAGTTCATACATTATAAAGTACACACATTGTGCCATCCATCTATGTAAACATACATACAGCCCAATCGAGTACCTCCTTTTTTTAAAGTCGGTCAATTAGTTACTTATTTGGCACAAATCTGTTATTAATATAATGTGCAAAGTTTTGGATCTCGTTGAACGATTTGAATAATTATTTTTGCAATTTATAGCTATTAGCTAATACTAGTATTACTCGCGTCTTCGCCTGCGTTCAAACTTCCGATAGCTCCCAAACTTCACAGGATCACCTGGGATAATCTGAAGATTACCTGAAAATTTCATCAAAATCGCTCCAGTCGTTTGGGTGGGTGTCCATAGGGAACATACATATACACATCGATTTCTATATACATACCTATATAGATTTATTAAGAATGTTTATGGGCTATCTAAAACGATAGGTACGACTTTTAGAATTGAAACAGTACCTACATATTAATAGACTAGGCGAGCAGAGTCGCGGGAAATGGTAGTATGTATAAACATCTATACTAATATAATAAAGAGTAAAGTTTGTGAGATTTTGAGTTTGTGACGTTGTAGGGGGTAATCTCTTGATCTACTGAACCGATTTAGATGAAATTTGGTTACAAGGTAATTTGAGAAACTGGGAAGGACATAGACATACATAGACAACTTTTTGTACTGGAAATCATCTCTTAAAGGGGTGAAAATGGGGATGAAAGTTTGTATAGGGAATCAACCCAGGGACGATCCTGAGCGAACCGAGGGTGAGTCGTTAGTTATATATAAATGTATGTATGTACATATATAACTAATAGTGTGTATCTTATGATATCGGTCATTCGTCTGTCGTGATTGTATGTTTATTATTTACTTACATTTTATACTTACTATATACATATATTGATCACATAAATAACTATCGCTGTATCCCGACTTTGCCTGTTTTTTTTAATTTATTTTGAGCTCTAATTTATTATTTCTTAATTCAATTGATAATAATATAATAATAATAATAATAAATACGATTTTCCCTTGAAATTGTAGCGGTTTCTAGTCCCGTTTGAGTTTTTTATTATGTGTGTGGAATTTGATGATGAATACTACAAATGAGAATATGTCATTGGGTGGCGTCCTTTTGTTGGTGGGCCAAGTAGGTACTTTTCATCCCCCCGTCGACTGTCTCGTAGGTCTAGCATGATCAGAGTTGATAGATGGCGGTGCTTGCACCCCCGTGCCTTAGAAAGCACGTTAGGCTGGAACCACAATATAGTGCCCATCACAGGTCGTTCTCGGTCCGATATCGGTCTAGTAAGAACTGAACTACACTATAGTGCCGATCACAGTCCGTTTTCGGTTCGATATCGGTCTGGTAAAGTTTTTTTTTATACAAGAAACGTTGCTGGAGTTTGAGTCGACCGGAATGTGACAATTAGAGGCAGATTTTGTTTGTTTGAACGCGCTAATCTCAGGAACTACTAATCCGATTTAAAAATTATTTTTGCATTAGATATCCCGTTTATTTAGGAAGGCTATAGGCTATATCTTATCACGGAAAAATGTACGGTTCCTTTCTCTGTAATTCTTTATCTGTAATCTCTTCTGTCTTCCATTATCTGTAATTCTGTATAATAAATATTATAAATGTGAAAGTTTGTGAGAATGTATGCATATTTGTTACTCTTTCATGACATAACGGCTGAACGGATCTAGATGAAATTTGGCACAGAGATAGATTATAGTCTGGAATAACAGATAGGCTACTTTTTATCCCGGAAAAATATACGGTTCCCGAGGGATAGATTTGTTTTTGATTTTCTAGAGGTGAATCCAAACGCGCGCGAGATGGTGAGCCGCTAGTCATATAATATAATTAGTCTATCTATTCTATACCGTTAAAACGAACACGACCGAAGCGAGGGTGAGTCGCTGTTATGTGATAAAGTTTGAGAAACGCTGCACTATCACAGTATATGGACAAATATACATACATACATAGATTTGTTACAAGTATTATTTGTTTTTAACTATGAACCAAAGCGCTACTTCAGCCTCAAACAGATTGGATTTCGTGTCCTCAGACGGGTAAATGTTTTATAATGTGCTCGTGATGGTAATAAACAGGACATTTTACTTTATTGCTATGCTGTTTCGTTTCATATTGCGTTGTGGGTAGTTCGTAGAGTGACAAAGTTGATATGGAGTTTGGGATGAGTAAATATTGTTTTTTTTTTCTTAGTTTAGTTTTAGTTTGAATAATTTTTGAAGTTATACTTCTTTTGGGACGTTTGGAAAAAAATATGAGAGTAAATTTTTTCATCATACACCGACAGCCAAAAAGCGACATGATGAAGTTTGCTGATAACTGTTTGTTGCCATGGTAACCGTTGTTATTGTCTGACAAATGATATATAATATTATTATTTTTTTCTTAAATTATATTATATAAATATATGATTGCAATATGCCTAATATGCATTATGTAATTAGGTAATTATTAATTTATCATTCTTTTAACAAACCGCAAGTTGTGACATACGGATTGATCTTAGCATTCTCATCTTTAGCTATTTATGTTGTGTTAAGCCAAAGAAGTTAAACTTCTTACGTGCGTATATATGTACATAAGTACATACACATGTTTTTTTAAGTAAGTATATCACTAGTTGTGACACTCGATCCTGCTTCGTTTAAGCCCACAGGCTTTTAAGTTTGAAAGATGTTATTAAGCTGATCGGATAGGTATTTCTATTTACATATCTCCTATATATGTATTTTAAATAAAATTATCGTTTCGAATGCTTTACAACAATCATGGAAGAGACAGGTTCGTATGTACGAACGCAAGAATTTTACCTTTTTATAACATTTTGTTTAAAATTTAATTACGTATTTTTTCGTATTCTGTTAATATTATTCGTTAAATTCAATCCTAAAATAATTAACAAAAAACTTTGTTTTTTTTATCACCACTAATTAGATTCATTTCTAAGTTAGTTAATTTCAACTATTTTTACTTGAGTGTGTTATACTGATGACAATACAATAATTTTATAAAATCGAACCCATGTGGTGTGTAATTTAATTAGCGAAAGTCTTCATTGACAACTAAAACCCTCCAATTTGGGCTAATTTGACTTATTTTGTCAGGTCCCAGATATAACTTTTATAAATTATACTTCTGCTCTTTATTGTTGCGTTAAATAAATATATAATAGGCAGAATTTAACTATCTACTGTGTAATATAATAAATAATTAGTAACTGCGCAATTCAAAGCCTACTTTTTATATAACCTAAATTATTGTCACCCTAGTGAGCAACGCGCAATCGCGGGACTAGTGCTGTCCAAGAGAGCCGCGTTTATCGATCAAACACATAGGTTTGTATATTAATGTCTCGTACAGAAAAGTTTTTAGTGATGTTTATGTGGAAGCTGGCAATTTTTACGGTTTATTTCAATAATTATTATTTGTATACCATAATAATGTATGTGTTTTAAAAGAGTACGAAATGTTCGTAGCTCTTTCTGTATTCAAAGTTG